AAGAACTGTAGCTGTGGACATTTTAATATCTGGGTAATGCTACGTAGCTCTGTGGCTTATTCCTTAATGCTATTTCATAGAAAAAAGTACATGCCGGTTTCTGTATGCAGGAAAGTTTGAATTGTTTACATTGTGACAGAATCATGTATGAACCTTGAAACGAAGTGAGGTAGTGAATATCACGTCCGTATTTGAACACATATTTTTGAATAATGTCGACAAGGTGAGCCAGTTTAAGCTACTAAGATGGCTTTTAGCCAATGTTCTCATCAGCAGAAGTACGTTTTAGATGTGCATAATTTTTTTTCAAGTTGCAAAACTTCCCCATCACAGATTTCAGAGGGACACTTGGCGGGTACAAGAAAACTGTTGATAAATTTTCATTAGGCCAGTACATTTATATGGGAACGGGGAACAGCTTAAAGGGTAGGTTAGATATTACTAACTGATGACGGCTAATGAGCCAGAAATAGCCATTCCAGCCTCCCCTGTCTTTGCCGGCAATACCATCTGCCTGGACTACTAGAGACTGTACGACTGCTATCGAGGCTCCGAACGCAGAGCGAACAAGCGAGTTCCGTTAGCAAGCAGAGAAGGTCAATCAACGCGTGCCAATATCTCCCGATCTGAGGTAGCAAGGCACCGACCTCGTGGCTCAGTGGTTAGGGCGTTAGAATTTTGATCGGAAAGGTTGCGGGTTCGAGCCTTGCGTGGGGCATCACCTGGTGCTAGGAATGGCTAGCTAGTAAGCCAGAAATGACCATTCTAGTCTCCTCTGTCTTTGCCGGGAATACTATCTGCCTATATTACCTAGAATACTAGCCGCTGCGGCTACTGTTAAGAGCCTGAGAAATGAGACCACAGGCAGAGGGAGTTCCGTTAGCGGTCAGTGAACGTTCGTCAACGAGCGACTAAATCTTCTAAAGAGGGAAGAGTGCGCTTGTTTGTCGTGGTGATGGACGCTGCAGAGTTGACTTCATATTTTATTCCCTCTGCCATGCATCTAGCAGGTCGGTCACCTGATGCTGGGATTGGACACAGGTGTCTGATGCGACGAGAAGCCTGTGTTTGTGTGTGACACGCGTAGGCGTGCAGTCGGACATTCAAACTATTTCTCCCCACTCCTTGTGTGCATCTCTACTTCTCCCTCACTCTACACATCTCACTGTCAGTATATGGTGTTTTTGGGAACGCAGAGTGACTCAAAGTTTGCGTAGGTAATTCTAAATCCAATCCACTGAAAATCGTGAATCAACATTGCGGATCTACAGGACGGGGGGAAAATAAAAAGCAGGGACATAATTAAAGCAGACAAAAATTGGGAGGGGGAAGATATTATGAAAGGATGCCCAACTGTCATTATCGCTTCTGTTTAGTTTTTGCATACTTTTGGCAAATGATGTCTGTTATCTGGCAACTTAACAGCAGATGTCATGGCCGAAACCTCAGACTGTAAGCCGGAGTGTTTGTCACTCGAAACTCGCGCTCTCAGGACAGCAAGGAGAGTCGTCTACTGACAAACCCGTGAGTAGGTAAAAGCCAACCGGAGGATGTGCTTCGTCCATTACAGCGTTCAACGCCGTCTAACGCCGGCGGGTCAGTCTTAATCACCTTTTAACAGTCTGTAAACGCAGCGCCATTCAGTCAAGTTTGCCCCCTTTTGACACCGCCTATTCAACCCCCGAAAGAAAGCTCCATTCTGTTTAGAGAGCGCCATCGTAAGCTGTATTTGGTGAGTAATCACTGAGCTCGTACATACGATGCATTCAGCGTACGTGTCTGCAACTGTGTATGTTTACCATCAATTCGTTCCCGGTCGGACCGCCGCTCTTTGCAGTTTGTCGCTTCCGTCTAGACATTCCATCACCCCCTCCTCCACCCCCCTTTTCACATCTTTTTTGCCTGTCTAGGGGCCAGCTGATGACTGTACACTCCCGACTAGTGGCTAGGTACCGGGACTCGAGCCCGTTAGCCCTTCGATGACATTTCGCCCATAAGAAGTTATATCCACACACGCAACTGACGTACAACAGCACCCGTGACCTTTAGGGTAGGCCGTGGAGCGAGTTCAGTCTTGGCGAAGAAGGGTGCACTTGGTCTCCACACGTTTTTCCCACTAAACAAACGCAGTGGGTAGCTGTAAGATGTGTCTGTTCGAGGATGGGACTCCTGGGCAACTGCAAGTACACAAAAAACGCTGGTAATTATGTTTAGTGGTCAGAAGCCTTTT